CGCTGCAAGATGCCGCACGATAGCCGCATGCCTGACGTGCGGCAGCCGCACCGCAACCGTACCGCATCAAAATCGCACTCGTGTGGGGCGGGCCTTAGGGCCGGTGTGGCCGTGTCCCCCGTTAGGGCCGGTGTGGCCGGTGCCGTGTCTCCGTTAGTTAGGGCCGGTGTGGCCGGTGCCGTGTCCCCGGGCAGGGCCGGAGTGACGGTGCCGTGTCTCCGTTAGTTAGGGCCGGTGTGACGGCGTCAGTGCCACGTCCCCCGGTGCTGTCGGTAGGACCTGCGCTACGTCCCCCGGTGCAGTCGGCATGGTCGTTGACTCGTCGTTGGCCGTGTCCTCCATCAGGGCCGGTGTGACGGTGCCGGTGCCGCGTTCCCCTGTGTCGTCGGTAGGGCCGGTGCCGTGTCCCCCGCTTTTGTAGTTAGCACTATATAGTGTCGCGTCTTCCGGATCGCCGATGCCGTGTCCTCCCCTAAGACCAGTGTGACTGGTGCTGCGTCCCGCGGTGTCGTCGGTAGGACCGATGCTGCGTTCCTAACTGCTGTCGGTAGAACCGGTACTGCGTCCCCCGGTGCCGTTGGTACGGCCGTTCCCCGTGCCGTCGGTCAGGCCGGTGCCGTGTCCCCCGGCAGGGCCGGTGTGACCGGTGACGTGTCCTCCGTTAGGGCCGGTGTGGCCGGTGCCGCGTCCCCCCGGTGCTGTATGTAGGACCGGTGACGCGTCCCCGCTGCTGTAGTTAGGGCCGACTCCTCGTCCCCGGGTGCCGTCGGTAGGGCCGACTCCACATCCCCTGGTGCCGTCGGTATGGCCGTTGCTGCGTCCCCTGGTTGCGTCAGTACGTCGGTGGGGTCGGTGCCGCTGTCGTCGGCTTACCGGAGATAGTAGGCAAATCCACGTATGTTCTCATTTATGTGCTTGAAAAATGCAATTTAAGCAAGAATGTCCGTACATACGTGTTTTGACCACGCGAGCGTTAACATCTTTAGATACCCATGATGAGGAGATATCTGGCAAAACCACGTATGTTTTCATCGGTAAGAAATAAAAAATCATTTACACAAGAAAGCTTTGACATACGTGCTTTGGACACGATAAGTCCGAACATACGTGTTTTTGCCTTGGCTGTCTACCCTTGGATATGACATACGTTTTTTGGAAAATGTTTTTTGGAAATATAAGTATTTTCAAAAAAAACTTTTTGTGAATATAATTCGCATAACCAAATGCTCCGTTTCTTGGGCTATCGATCGGTATAAAAAACCATTTTTGACCAAAAAATGACATACCTACGTGGTTCTTCCTTTGCACGGCAGAGTAGCACGGGACTCGTTCATGTGCTTTGCAGCGGGCATTTTTCCTGTAGAGTAGTGTATTTTTCTCTTTCTGTGGAGTAGCGCGTGTTCTGTGTCTTCGCTTGGCAGGGTATGTGTGCCACTCACAGTGAAACTGACACTGAAATTAAACAAATTCTGAGGTACGACAATCACACTCAGACAGCTAGTGGCCCAAGCACGGGTAGCATTGGATAAAGAAATAGACCAATCGTAATGCATGTATGAAGGTACAGAATCCATTTTCGGTGGTCAGTTATGCGCCAAGTCTATATTCATCAAAGTTCAGTCATCTCTGTCAAATAAGTTTTTTAGCACAGACAAAGAGAGCTGAGGACATTGCTGCTGTCTGACAGCGCCGGCTGGTGTCTGGCTGCGACCGCAACAACAGCTAATGCGCGTAACAAGCCCACCATTGTGACCATCTGACTGTGACCGTAGTAACATCTAGTGCCCCACCCTGACTGTGACCGTCAGTTACCTGGGGATCGGTCTGATGCCCCCCCCCCCCCCCTGCGACCGCCTGGAGATCGGTCTAAATTCTGGTTCCCCTCCCCTACCCCTGCTCTGACCTCCAGTTACCTGGGTATCAGTCTGATGTCCCTCACCCCTCCTGTGACCTTTAGTTACCTGGGTATTGGTCTGATGCCCCCCCCCCCTTTGTTGAAACCTCTAGTTACCTGGGTATCGGTCTGATGTCTCCACTCCCTCCTGTGACCGCCTGTTACCTGGGGATCGGTCTGATTACCCCCTCGGTCCCACCCCACTCTGACCGCCAGTTACCTGGGTATCGGTCTGATGGCGGCCCGGCACACCATTCTGACCGCCGGTCTGGACGGCCAGAACTCGTCAGTTGTCAGCGAGTGCGTCAACCCGGTGGTCACAACCAAATGGAGCTACGGCGGCAAAACCTACAACATCAGGTGACAATTACATTATTTAATCATCTTCTAAAAAGCACAACTTAACCGTTTAGTTTGTGCTGAACGTTGACTGCACGCTTTCAAATCGGCTCATGAATCATGTAGTGATAGGAATTCAGATCAATGGCCTAGTTTCTAATGGAAATGCATATCGTGCAAATTTGTATGGGAAAGCTAGTTATATTTCAGTCCGTATCACTGTACGATTGTTCATGCTTTTTGTATCTTATTTGCATCTGAGGTGTTGTGGCGTGGTTGACGTCATTGCAGGTTAAAAACTGAGTTTGTCGAGGTACTTCTTGGCATATCTGCACATCCACCCTGTGCGCGTATTCAAATACCTTGTGCCACTTCATGCATAATGCATGTTTGCTGGATGACGGCCTCCCTAGCGCCGGACAGCTATTATATGCCAGGGATTATCAGAAAAAGGATGAAAGATTAGCATGCTCATCCAGGATAATTCGGAACAAAAAACTTATCAGGCTGCAGTACTAAGTCTTCAGTCACACCTGGCTATAAATTAAACCGTTGCGGGAAAGTCACAGTCTGATGTGTGAGAATGTGTCCTTGTGTGTCCTTACCAAACTGTTACGGGAAAGTCACCATCTGAAATAGTTGTGGCATGATGTGTCCTTGTCTGTCATTGCTGTTCAATGACAATTTGGTCCCATCGACAGTGGCGTCAGCACCAGCAAAAACTACAAGTTCATCAAGGGCAAGGGCGGCCTGATTGACAAGACGGAGCCGATCGTGGACTTTGTCAAGTGTTACGGTCTGGCCGAGCGGTTCCTCAGCGGCCGGCTGCATGCTCCCGACGAGCTGAGGTCCCGAGAGGTGAGTCGTGCCGCCGAACCACGGGCCCACACTAATGAGTGGTCTAAACGGGGTCTCACGACGCTACACTGATGCATGATTGTCTCCAGTACTTATTATTACTTTATTTTGACGTCATATTTGGTTACGTAGCACGTATTTACATGAGTTTAGTGTGTCTGCTGCTGTCAATTTCTGCGCTTCGACGATGCCTGATAAAATATCATCGCAATAATTTTTTTCGCCACTGCATGAAAGTTGTGACCAGATTTGTGGCTCTGTATGCTTCCGAAGTTTTTGTCGTAGGCGGCTTACACTGTAGTTACTACCAGTGCCGTAGAACAGCGTTGTTTCTTTTACAGCTAGGTAACTATCAGCTGGTATTCAATCATCACCCACTGCTGTCTTCTTACTTCGCAGGTGTACGCCATCAGCTACTACTTTGACCGCGCCACCGAGGCCGGCCTGGTGGACCCGTTCGACGGAGGCGCCGTCACCGTCGAGCAGCTAATGCGCGCCGCGCGCCAGGCGTGCGAGACGCCCAACGTCGAGCAGCCGCTGGCCTGTCTGGACCTGACCTACATCGCGGCGCTGCTGCACGCCGGCCTCCAGCTGCCCGGCGAGCACCTGCTGCGGCTGCACAAGAAGATCGACGATCACGAGACCAGCTGGGCGCTGGGCGCTGCGTTCCACACACTCACCAACCACGCCTGAGGCGGACCTCAGACTGGCGTGAGCTGGCCAATCAGTTACCCCGCGCTGTTCAGATCAGTGCAGAGTATATACAGCCATCGAATGCAATATCCCAATGGAGTCCACTCCCCAGTACCACTGATTGTTTGATAGTGTAATTTAAAGTGCATGCTGGATATCGTGATTGGTGCGATGTGTATTGGGGCAAACTCAGCGTGGTCTCGCGTGTACCCCGCAGCTGAGCCTCATGCCGACGCGACTATTCATTCTTCTGTTGTGCTCGTGATGAGTCAGTGTGGGGCGTGGTGTCTGTGTCACCTGATTCGAACTTCCATTTATGTGCTGCATTGTTGAGCCAACTATTGATGTGTAGTCACAAGCGTATGCTTCAACGTTTTTACATATGCCTATTGCCTGATTATTTTAGTTACCCCTTGGTATTTGAGACCATATGTCGGGATGTCTGGTGGGTGTTAGTGCCACGTATTTGGCGTCAGTGCGCCCATTGTTTACCGTTAACGGCGACTGATATTGTGCAGAATTAAAGAATACGGTTTCTGTAGCTATGGCGGCTCTGGATTACTGCTGTGGTGGGCGTGCCTTGTCTCTTGGATGCAATGTGAGCCGGTTTTATGTCTGTGTCCGCGTGCTGCGGCCGATGGGATGTGAGCAGATTTGTGATCAGTCCATGACGCTGCCGTGCTCAGCAGTGTGTTTGGAAGTGATGCTCAATTGAGCGGCGTCTTTAAGCAACATTTGTTCAATGAAACGAACCACCTTTTTGATCGGGAAATAAATTGGTACCGTGAAATATTTTGCCTGTCTTTTACGTCTCTTGACAGTGCCCGCGTTCTACAGGGTGGTGTTTCGATAAAACTATCGTACACATTATCAGGAGTTCGTAATGACGAGCCTCGTATTAATTTCCCCAAAGCATCTGTAAAAGAGGTACTAAAAAATTAATGACTGCAGCGGTGGCCGGTGAATAACTTTCTTGCCAATTTCTCACCGCGCGCTGCAACCTATAGTCTGTTCCATATCAAGCTTGCAGTCGGAGTTGCTTCGGCTGATCGCTCCTCCGCTCAAGAATTAGCGTCTTAAAATGCAAGAGCTGTATATACAGAAATCACGCACTGCCTTCAGCAGGGCACTTCGGCTGCATACTTGAAACGCAACAAAGTATAGTTATAACTCAAAGTGGTAAATCAGGTATTGATCCAATGACAAAACTTACAAGAAAATATTTCACCCATATCCTTTTTATTCCTCACTCACCAGTGAAGTAATCAAGAGTTGACCAACGATAGAGATGTCCTGTGTTTCACCTCTCACAAAATCATCATCAAATGACCAGCTGGATTGGTATGGCTACATTCACAGTGCTACAAAGCCAGCATTCACAAAACAGCATAACATGCTCCAGTCACAGATATCTCACTCAAGCGAGTCCCTTGGCCTTCATCTCAGCCAGGAGAGTGGAGCCCATCTGAGCCGGGCTCTTGGTGACCTTCACGTTGGCTCCCTGCAGTGCCTTGATCTTGTCTTCAGCACCACCCTTGCCACCAGAGATGATGGCTCCAGCATGACCCATCCTCCTGCCAGGTGGCGCCGTCAGGCCAGCGATGAATGAGACAACAGGCTTGGCATCAGGGCCAGAGTTGTGCTCCATGAGGAAATCTGCAGCCTTCTCCTCAGCCTGTCCTCCGATTTCGCCAATCATCACAATACCCTTGGTCTCCGGATCATTCAGGAAGACTTCCAGGCAGTCGATGAAGTTGGTTCCATTGAAAGGATCACCTCCAATGCCAACACACAGGGTCTGTCCCAGGCCAACCAGTGTGGTCTGGTGCACTGCCTCGTAGGTCAGGGTACCAGACCTTGATACAATGCCAATGCAGCCCTCCTGGTGGATATGACCAGGCATGATGCCAATCTTGCACTTGTTAGGGGCAATGATGCCGGGACAGTTGGGCCCGATCAAGCGGGACTTGTCCTGTCTGAGAAGCCTGTGCTTGACTTTGACCATGTCCTGTTGGGGAATGCCCTCAGTGATGCACACAATCAAAGGCACTTCAGCATCCAGAGCTTCAAATATGGCAGCAGCCGCAAATGGTGGCGGAACATAGATCACGGATGCATCTGCTTTTGTCTCAGCCATTGCTTCTTTCACAGAATCAAACACAGGAAGACCAAGATGTTTTTGGCCTCCTTTTCCAGGTGAAACGCCCCCAACAACAAGTGAGCCATACTCAATAGCTTGACGGCTGTGGAACGTGCCTTGTTTGCCTGTGAAACCTTGACAGATGACTTTGGTCTGGGACGTCAGCTTCATGTTCTGCCTGGTGGCATCGTACGACACAAAGCGAGCAATAGGTGTGTTGACACGATTCAGCAATCTTCCTATATTTCCAAGGGGCGCCGCCATGATCCACAACCCTTTTAAACCGAAATTGGGTTACCAAAATCCGTGCAATGACAATTTAGCAATGCTGAAGCGAAACTTATCACAGAAAGAGGGGGCATCAGTGTTGCCGCGGCCAGATTTTACAGCGTACCAGGATCGCATCCAAATCGTACCAGATTGGCTGTTTCTGGCTGCGTACCGTACCAGATCGTAGTAGGTCAGCTTGTTATTAATTCAGTACTTAAAAAAATAACCAAAATTTCGGTAAATTCATGCCAGCAAGTAATTTATGGCTCATTTGACCCAGTAGTTCGACCCATTCGTCTCCCCGCGTCGCCCCTTGAAAGGCAGAAAGGCGCTCTTCTGAAGGCTCCCGAATTGTACACCTACCTAAAATTGGCCTTAAAATAGAGAAATCGAAATCCTGCCTTTGAGAGGGGGCATTCCAGTTGAGACTGGCAATTGCACCCAGGATCCTAGCTTGCACCCATAATCCGAAAATTACCACAGTTATGCTAGTGAAAATGGAAAATTATTTGTTGGGTGTCATTTAGTTTTCCAACGAAATCGCACAAATTTGGGACACTGATTCAAACTAGCCTCTTTCCTTAGCCCTTCGACCGTCGACGGAACTCACATTTCACTGTTCACAATACAACTACAATTCCCAACTATTGGTTATTGGTATCTCAGCTTACGAGCCACCACAAATCGTTGCACTTGGGCCCGATCAATTCCCAACTCATGACACAACCTCTTATATTGCCTTGGACACAACAAATGCCTCAGCCTGCAGCCGACGGACCGTCCTTGGCAGCCGGCGTGGCGCGCGAATTTTCCACTTGTTTAATTCTGCTAGCACACAACAGGAATAGGTATTAATAATTCCGAATCCGATGCATGACAAATTATGATGAGAAAGTTAGAAACACCATCCCTCTTGACTAAAAGAATTGTTCTTTTTACTTATATTGAAAGAAATATTAAAATGCCAAAAAATGCATTTCGACGAAAAAGTACCAGATTTCGTTTAGGCGTACCTCCGTACCAGAAATGTCGAAAAAGTACCAGATCTGGTACTATAGTACCAGGACGGCAACACTGGGGGGCATACGCGGCTAGGCGGCTACGTTACTGCAATTTCAGGAAACGTATCAGATGCGTCATTATTGAGAAAGGAAAACTCAGCTGACCAGCGAGTAATTCACAGCTAGTAAATAAAAAGCAGTTGTATCACATTACAATCATTACGTCTATCTGCTATCATCAGTTATCAATGGGTCGGTGGTGAATTTTCATGTCAAAATTTATCGTTATGTGGTCCATCAGCCACATAAAATGAGAATGCAGCAAATTCATGTAATGACCACCTAGCGTCCTTCTTGTAGCTCAGATGGGAGAGAGACCACAAAGCTCAAAATTTGAGCCTTGCGGGTGATCGCCCTTGCATTCGGGCGATAATGATGATTGCATATTGGAATGGATGCTAACCATTTCGTCCCTCGCGCTCACTTCTAGCGTGAAAGTCTGTGATCAGTGACAGTGGTCGCATGGAGGCCGGTTGACGTCCGTGAGGAGGAACTGCGTCTGACCCATCCGCCGACCACTTGCCTACCTATAGCAGTTTGAACGGTTTGAACGTGTAATTTAATTCGATTCAAATGAAAAGTGCGTGGGAAAGTGGAACAATAGCATCAGAGCATCATAGTCGCTATGCCATCGCACTTGGTACCTGCTAGCGATTAGTCGCATAGGTAGGTAGGTACATGTTTTTTCAATGTATGAAATTGTGAGGACGATGAATGAAAAAGGTCAAATTTCAGTGCTGAGCTTTTTAAGCTGTCCCAAGCCCTCCTGTCATGAGCCACCGCCGGCGGGTCGGCTGGCCTATCCCCGCTCCACCTCACTCAATGGCCGGCACCGATTGCTGATTAGATATCAGCACACTACGATTGGTCAAAGGTCGTCAGACGGGCAGAATTCACGGCCCACACGGCCCCGTCGTCGGTCGGTGGGTCACGCCGGAGCAGTGTTGACGAGTGTCGGGCGACCAGTGCCATGTCGGAGACCGAGGAGCGCCGACACAGGTCACGGTCGCGCGGCCGGCCGGCCAGCGCCGTGCCCGAGCCGCCCGTGAAGCCCCGGCGCCGCTGGCGTGCCCGCACCGCCAGTGCACTGATCTCGTCGGCTCCGGCGACCAGCAGCGTCCGGCGAGCCAGCGTGAGTACCAGTTGAAGGCTGTAAAAAACGTGATTATCGTGGACCCAATGATGAGTGAGCATTGTGTTATTATTTCGGCTGTAGGACCGTTACGGCTACCTACCTATAGGTAGGGTAGGGTGGGGCAAAGCGCCCACCCTAACTTTCCAGCCCCAGTATCTCTTTATCTTACAAATTTGAAAGACAACTAGGTAGCTGATCTGATAGCTCATTACCTTGGCTTTCTTCGAATAACACATCAGAAACAAGTGGCATGCATGGTTTTTGAGATATGCCATCCGAATTGAGAGGACTACAAATCGGGCGTTTTGCCCCTACCATGGGGCATAACGCCCATATGAGTGGGGCATAACGCCCAGTCCTGAACGTTTCATTACACGCTCGGTACTCTGACAAAAGAATGCAGTATGTATCCATTCTCATTTCGTTTGACTTTAAATCGATAGATTACACCACCAAACACATCTTGAACACTGTTGTTACCACCCCACTCCTCATTCAGTCAACGGGCTGTCACCGCCTTGGAGAGCGGAGATTAGTTCGTGCGAATAAATTGTTCCAGGCGATACTAACCAGTATATTGCATATTTCATAAGAATCCTGAGCATTAGAAACGTATCTCGACACTCACTTTCAGCCAAAAATGTTCACAAATACCCGTACTGTATAACTCCCATTAGGGGTAAAACGCCCATGATGGGCGTTTTGCCCCACACCAAAGTGGGCGTATTACCCCAACAGCACATTCAAAACGAAGTCCACCAAAATTAAGCGTGTGACGATTGTGTTGCAAACCAGTAAATGCTCAAAACATAGCTTAAATCCGCAGGTTCTGCGTAGCTAAATTTCATTGCCTACTTTAATCTCTATCAGACAAAGTTTTAGTAGTATTGTGACGTTCCATCAGCCTTCCGCTGATCGCACTTCTAGAGGCACCAACAGTCCCGAGTGCTCAGACTGAGTATATTGTCGAGAAACAAGAACTAAGCAACATGCACCTGCAAACAGACAAACAGTCAATGACAGTCAGGATGGAAATACATGCAGCTCCCAGCGAGGGGCAGTGCGCATGCGGTCATGCGGACGAGCACATATGAGCGTTGGGGAAGCATGTATGCACAAGGGGGTAAGACAGCAGGCATGACATGCGGTTGTGCAGCGGACATGTTAGCGCGAACATAGATAAAGGACAGTGCGAGAAGGAATACATACAAGCAGGCAAAACCAGATCAGTGCAATAAATGATACCACCGTGACATCACCTTCCCGAAAAAAAAAAATGGACTCACGAACCGGTGATACAGACGCTGAGGGAAAGTGTGGTATAACATCACGGACCATACCGTGGGTTGCGCCGTATCTCTCTGCCTGATCGAGACACAGCGGGGAGGAAGTTCAACGGATCATCCGCGGAGTCCGGGATCTGTGCGACAGGAACAGGAGCGGGTTCGATGCTCGGTCGCTGGCTGACCTCGGCTGCGCCCTGTGCATCATAAGGCACGGCACTCGCATCTTCGTCCGCAGGTGTGTGGGCGGCAGTGTCGTCTGCAACTTCAGACGGTCCGGGCTGATCTCCAGTGGTGCCATGAGACGGAGGGCAGCAGTCCTGTACAGTCACATGAGCGTCGCCACCGAATGCTGCTGGCACGGATTTGACGCGGTTCATGTGCACACACTTCTCTGAGCTCCCTATGAGCACGAAAACGTTGCTGTCGACAATTCTTGTCACCAGGTATGGACCGCTGTACATAGGATCCAGCCCACAACGCTCTTCTATACGGACCATGACTTTATCTCCTGTCCGTATTCCACGTTCAGGCGGCGATACTCTAGTCCGATCGTAGTACTGCTTGGTTCTGTTCTTCGCCCTTTTGCTGTTTTCCCATACACGGCGATACGAGTCGGGACGAGTAGCCTGCAGCTCATCCACATGATCTTCGGGGCTGACGTACGCCGCGGGCTCAGAGCGCAACACACTCTGCGGTGGTCTCAGGGTAACGCCGTACATGACTTCGTGCGGAGACACTTGGGTACACGCATTCTTCGCCGAGTTGAAGATGAACGTGACTTCTTTCATAATTTGTGGCCACTCTGTGGTCGGCATCTTCCTTTCGGCGAGGAGGCAACGGAGCAGTTGCTTTGCAGATTGGACGCATCTCTCTGCCAGTCCGTTGCCCTCCGGATGGTAAGGACTCGAGCGACGTTTCTTGATATTGTAATCGGAACAGAAACGCCTGACTGCCTCACCGTCCATGTTTCTTGCCTGATCAGTGACCAGTATTTCAGGCAGTCCATGACTGTATACCCATCCCGTCATCAGGGACTGCAGCACCGTGTCAGCCATCTGGTCTTTCATGGGTATGAATTCTGCGTATCTTGAGAAAAGATCCACCACCACCAAGAAATACCGGTAGCCTGATGCGCTCCAGGGTAGGGTGCCAACGTCCATGGCCACCGTCTTCCGTGGAGCTAGATCCCCGACTTCATAAGACTGCAACTCTACCTCTGGCTGGTAGGACCTCTTATTGGCACTACATACGGCACACTGAGCGCACACAGCACGCACACAAGCTGGCAGCCCAAGTGAGAAGAACTGGCTCTTCACTCTCTGTAGAGTCCTCTCCACGCCCAGGTGTTCCGCCTTGTGCACCGCTTCCACCACTTCTCGTTGGATGCTCCCGGGTGCGACCACTCGCTGACCTTTCATCAAGACGCCATGTCTCATCGTCATGTCTCGGTAGTGCCGATATCGTCCTTTGGTGATCTGGCCATTGGCAATCATCTGTGACGCTGCGAACATCGTCACTGGATCTTCTCTCTGCGAGACTGTCACTCTGCTCAACAAATCGGTGTTCGTAAGCCTGTAGACGTGTCTCTCAAAGTGCTCACTTTCATCGTTCAACTGTGGGTCCACGGGTTGGTTAATCCTGCTGAGACTGTCCGCTCCAGCATTTTCGGTGCCTTTCCGATACACGATCTGATAGTTGTAGGATTCCAGCTCCATTAGCCACCTTGCAAACTTGTGCCTGGGATCCTTCTGCCTCCGGAGCCAGACTAGCGGGTTGTGGTCCGTGACCATCACGATTTTTGTAGCGGCCTGCAGGTAGGTTCTCCATTTCCGCACTGCCGCTACTAGCGCCCAACACTCCAGCTCGCTCGCAGAGTAGTTACGCTGAGCACTTGTTAGACCTGATGAGAAGTAGGCTAGCGGCCTTCGTACGCCGTCTTCTGTTTCTTGGGACAAAATCCCACCAACACTCACACTGCTCGCGTCCACTTCGACCCAGAACGGTCTGTCCCACCTTGGGAACGCCAGAACCGGCGCTTTCACCAGAGCGGTTCTGAGTGACTCAAAACTGATGTCACACTCTTTTGTCCACAGCCACTTGGAGTCCTGGTGTGTCAACTGGTAGAGCGGAGCTGCAATGTAGCCCATCTTCGGTATGAAAAGACGGTAGAAATTCACGAGGCCTAGAAATCTCTGCACTTCTTTCTTGGAGCTGGGTCTTGGGTAGCTCTGGATCGTTGACACGTGAGACTTCAGAGGGCGGTAACCTTCACCACTAACTTCGTGGCCCACAAACTCTCCTTTCTCATAGGCGAAGCGGCACTTGTCTAGCCGTAGTTGCATGTTTGCCATCTTGTAGGCATCCAGTGTCTTCTTGAGGTAGGTCACGTGGTCCTCCACATCTCGTGTATGAACGCAGGCGTCGTCAATGTAGCATTCTACTTGCGGAATTCCAGACAGCACCTGGTCGATGACGCGTTGATATGTGCTTTGGCTGTTGCACAAGCCAAAAGCCATGACATTCATCTCGAATTGCCCTTTCGGGACAGCAAACGCAGTCTTTTCTTTGTCTTCCTCGCGAATCGGGACCGACCAGTACGCACTTGCTCCGTCCAG